CCCTCGGTGTTGCCCCCGCTCCTCGCTCAGCCAGTGAGCTGCTGGTCTGCACATGGGATCCGAACCCTCGGCGGGAGCGCCGCCGCACTTCCCAAGCGGGTGCGCCACTGGGCCGGCCCTCCAAAAATCTTTATAAGAAAGAGAGAGGGGGAAGGCAACTAGTTTACTAAGTACCTATATATTTGATTCTGGGGTAGGCACTCAGTTCCTCACAGATAAGGAAAATGAAGCTCAGAAAAATAATTTGCCCAAGGACATCTAACTATATTCTTTGAAGAACTGGAATCCAGGTTCTTATTTGTGACTTGAAAATATAAACTCTTTTTATGCCACCACGCAAAGTTCTGCTGTCAGTATGTGTCAAGTACAAATTATAGAGACTAGAGTGGAGAAATAAAGTTTGTTACAACTCACTTTTTAATGCCAAACTGTTAAAGGAATACTACTCACTGCACAGCTTCTTCAACTTCTCCTTTACATATCATAAGAGAACCTCAGCATTTATAATATAAATTATAAATAGTTCAAATTACTTTGAAATACTACAGTCCATTCCTGTTACTTAAGGTAATTATATTCTATAAAGTCACCACAAACACTGAATTAGCCAATACTGAACCACTGGGCAAATAAGTACAGGGTTAGGTTCAGGTTAGTCTCTGGGCACAACATTTTTGTCAGCCAATCAGTGTAATCTTCTCTCATGTGTGTTTCCTGTTTAAAGGCATCTTATCTAATATACTCACATTGAACAGAATGAGAACTCATGACTGAACAAAGTTTATCTAACATATTTTCTCTGTAAGGAACATCACAGTCTTTTTGCACTAGGACCCTAGAAAGCACTACATTTAAGGACAATTTTCAGCATGAAATCACCAATGAAAACCACAAAAATGCAAAAAACATGGCACTAAATGACTGCAAAAGGACGTTTGTTTACAGCATTAGCGGTGAAAGAAAAGGCTGTGTCGCCTTGTTCCATCTTAACTGGGAATGTTATTTTTTGGCAATTCCATTTTTTTTTACCACTCTGTATATGTCCACAAATAACCACAAAGCACAGCAAGTCTTGACTTTATAAGGTTACAAATAAATTTAACTGAGTAGTCAAATTTGCAAATTTGGAATCTGCAAATAATGAGAATCGACTTTATTAATTTATGATTAAAAGACAATGACAACATACCTGCTTCTAATGAAAATATTAAATAATGGGGGCAAAAACAAAATACATGGAAAACGCTTGTAAGTAGGAATCAGTTTACTGACTGCCCCTTTGTGCCCCCTGGTGGATAAAAAGATAATAAGTACTAGAAAAACAAAGTTAGAAATGACAAAGTACGTGCTTTATAAAGTTCTGTGCTGGTGAAGATAAGAAACTAAATGACTCACATCAAATTTGGCAGTATGGGCAATTCTCTTTTTTGGTCCAGAATTTTTTTTGTAATATAACATATCTTGCTTTCTTGAAGCCTAGCAGGAAAAAGATAAGAAATATCCAATTTCAGCATAGTAAAGGCAAATTTAGCATGTTTCTTGAAAAGCCACATGCATCTAAGCTAAAAAATATTGGGAAAATCATTAAGAAATAATTCAGGAAAAAAAACATTGAATTCGGATAATTTGACATGCATAGATTCCTATAAATGAATCCTCTAATTTGGGAAATCAATTGTAAATTACCACATGGCCTCTGAAAACCATCAACTCTGTAAGATACTATGGTTGGCCAATGACGGAGTTTGGATGTGTTGTCCCCTCCAAAATTCATGTGGAAATTTGATCTCCAGTGTGGCAGGGTTGGAAACTGATTGAGTCATGGGGGCGGATCCCTCATGAATGGATTAATACTCTCCCCGGGGGAGGGGGGATTAATGAGTGAGTTCTCGCTCTATTAGTCCCGCGAAAACTCGTTGCTTAAAAAGACCCTGGCACTGTCTCTCTCTCTCTCTCTCGCTTCCTCTCTTTTGCTTCCTCTCACCATGTGATCTGCTTGTACCTGCTGGCTGCCTGCCACTTTCCGCCACTAGAAGAAGCAGCCTGAGGTCCACGCCAGATGCAGCTGTCCCAGAATCGTAAGCCAAATAAACCTCTTTCCTTATATAATTACCCAGTCTCACATGTTTCTGTTATAGCAACACAAAACGGACTAAAACAGCCAATTATCAAGGCTTCTGCCTTGTCATTCCAATATATTATTGATCAAAAATATTAGGATATATGTAATATAAATATACTTATATATACTATAGAATTTAGAATATATACAGAATACATAATCAAGGGAAACTCCCTTAGATTTAGGAAAAGAAAGATAAAGGAAAAAATCATACCAACCTGCTTAGCAGTCTCTTCCTTATGAGCTTCATTTTCTGTGAGCTCATTGAAAATTTGAAGACATTCCTTCATAGTGTCATCAGAATCAGAGAGGGTGTCATCTTCAGTAATCCCCTTACCAGAATCGAGTTCAACTAATTTGCTGTCTTCAAAAATAGTGGAATCTTGACTGTCTGGAACTCCCAGCACACTGTATTTTACAAGCTTATCTTGGGGCTCACTTGGTGAATACCAACATTCAGTTTCTTTTTTTTGAGTATCATAAATTGCTTTTACATGTTTTTTGTTCTTTGGATGACTTTCATTATGACTTTCTGTCAGTATTTCTTTGTCACTGAGAGGTGCACAGGATACACCTTCTTTGGAAATACAGCCATATTTTTTATTACCACCAGAACTTTCCATTTTGGACATGCGAGTTCTAACAGGACACAAGTTTATACAGCCATATTTTTTATTACCACCAAAACTTCCCATCTTGGACATGTGGGTTCTAACAGGACACAGGTTTACATTACTTTTAGTATCCAGTGAGGTTTTCATGAGCAATTTAGGTGGTTCTAATTTGTTACTGTCATCAACTATTTGTGTGGTTTGTTGGGTTTTATCTATTTTTTCCTCTTCTGGGCCACTAATTTGAAGATCTCTCTCTTCCAGGGGTGTGATATGTATCCTTTCATCCATATGCTGGTGTTTGAAGCCTCTAAATAGCCTAGATTTTTTAGAAGTAGGCATGAGTGGAGGTACATCTATTATGAGATCATCTTCATCAGATTCTTCAAGATTTATTTGAATTCTTATTGGTGAAACATAAGGTCTTTGGCTCTCCAGGGTCTTGTGACAATTTTCACCCACAGATTTTTGCAAGTGGCAGAAGGGCTGTTGATCAGTCCCATCCAGCTTTGATTTAGATGCCCCAGATGGCTTTGCAGAATAATTGAGCAAAGCATCATATTCAAAATCAGTTGCTGTACCTTTGTGGTCTATCATGTATTTTCTGGGTTGACTGTCTTTGTTCTTTGATGGTTCATTACAATTTCCCTTTGGGAGCAGGCCCTTTTCAGGAAAATCTTCCCTCATATTTGTGTCATTCAAGGAGGCTATGGGGCTTTGAGTTAGTTCCTCAAGTGCTAAGTTAAGCTTGGAAATCCTCTCCTGCTTTTCTTCAACTTCAGTCTTGACTGAGTCAATCTTTTTGTTGATTCTTTCCAATTCTTCCATACTTGTACCTAGTATTGTCAATGGAAAATGAGTTTTATCCTTAAAATCACTTAAGATGAAATGCAGGTTCTAGAATATCTTAGACAAGTAGTTTCCTATCAGAAGGACATTAACTCCTCCAAATCCAGTCTCACACACAGGAGGTAGTTTAACTTAGAAGAATGAGAAGCCAATGACTATCTCTGTTTAAGCCTTTCAAATGTCTAGCTCATTCCCATGACTGATTAAAGTACATTACTTTGTAGTAGTAAGTGTCATACTACTACAGTGACTATACATCAGTATGATAGGCCAAAACATCTCTGTCCACAAGAAAAAAGTTAAAGCATTAGTCTTTCCTTCCTTTAGTGGGTGTCAACATTCTAAGTTTCCTATCTATAGAATGCTTCCAATGCAAAATAATTCGTTCTCCCCCCAACAATCATAAAATTCTAAGAATCAACAAACAGACAAAATTCCAGAAACCAGGATAATGACAAGACATACAGGCTGAAGTAATGGCTGTCCACAACACCCTGGCAGCTCCTTCCTAAATTTTAACTAGGGGAATTGCATCCTCTTCCCTCTATCCAAGATACACTCTCCCTTGTTAATTATGGGATAACTTACACACTTCTCCCTTCGCCCAAACGAGAAATTTCAGGTCTGAGATGTGGTCCAAATTATGCTTTTTAAATCTCTGAATTTATTTTAGATACTACGTACGTGCTTCCTCTTTACACAAAAGGCTTTTCTGACTCAATAACCTTTCAACTTACCATTCATTTTCTATTAAGAAATTAACTCGATTGAAAAAGCACAACAATGTACTGGGAACGTGACGCTTTGTTGGACGAGAAAGGAGGGGAGCAGGCACAAAGATGAGAATTATCCTGGGATCCAAACATAAACGATTGGATCTAATTTCTCTTTAATTTGGAAAGGGCAGTAAATGCTGGACAACCAGTTCAGAAATGCCTTTTGGTATCACCCGGGTTTTATTTGGTCGCAACGATTGGGGAAGGGCTGTTAAACAGCGTTTTGGGGGTACTACTGAAAAAACGTGATTGTACTTTCCCTCCGTGTTAGAAGCAATTTAATTTTTTTTCTTACGTCACCAGTAGCTAGATTTCGAGGGTTCATTTCTAAGTTTGAAGGCACATTTCCACGCTTTCCACAGGCTACAGGTGCCCCGGCGCAGCTCCTTTTGATTAGCAATTACTCCGTGTCCCCACCAGCATTAACGAAGGCCTAGCTGCCAGTCCCCATTCTACCGCGTCAACGGGGGTCTCACCCCCACCACCCTTCACAAGAGCCCAGAAGACCCCTTACAATAATGCCACGTTGGGGGTGGGTGACAGGGAGAGAGGGTTAAGCCCATGCACGTGCACCTTACAACCAGCGAACTTCGTGCACGTCGTTCTGGGCGCCCTTCTGGGGTCCGCCGCTGCCCGGAGCCGGCGTGTTCCGGTCCTTCCCAGGAGCCGGCGTGTGCCGGTCCTTGCCCGGAGCCGGCGCGTTCCGGTCCTTGCCAGGAGACCGCGCGCCCACCGCGAGCTCCTGGCCGGCTGCTTCCCGTCCCGTCGGGGCGCGCGCGGGGCCACCCACGCGGAGCGCGGCCGGCGCCTGCCTTCTCTGCGTTACCGGGAGGTGGCGCCCGCTCCTCCCGGGGGTTAGAGAAGCTCTTGGGACCGCCTGCGCAGGCCACCCAGCTTCCCGAACGTCACGGAGACCCCGCCCACCCACGCCAGGCGTTCCGGAACTGCCCGACCAGCCGAAGGGCTCGCGGAAAGCGCCCTTCCGCGGGACCCCTCAGCGCGCTCGCTGTTCGGCACGCCTCGGGACACACCTGCCGCCGGAGGGGTGCAGAAAGAGGTGGGGAGGGCTGGGATGGAAGGCGCCTGATCCTGCCTGTGGGATGCTGACAAGATTCACTGGGGACACTGTGGAGCAGCCTGGCTCTTAGGTCTCGGAAAGTGCTTGTTCTCTCGCCCATCACGGCCAGCCCGCAGGCACTGACCTTGAGCTCCTGAGGTACTTAAGGCGGGAGAAAACCCACAGCTGCAGCATCCCAGCTCTAGGCGTAGGAGGCCAGAGTGTAAATTAAAGTGTCTCTTGAGGGTGAGTCAGGGACAGGAGAGAAGGGCGTTTCTGAGTGGGGAAGGGCCGGTAGGCTAAAATGGAGCTGGTTTTATGTCATTTCAGGGAAAACAGGTCAGAGGTCCGAAGTGGACGAATGGGAAGATCTGTCCCCACCAGCCTGAGCAGTGAGACCCTCTCTCCATTTCTAGACTGGGGGGGGGGGGGGGGGC